GCGCCCTGCCAGCGGGTGGGGTCCTGGGTGGGTCGGGTGGGACCCAGTGAGGGGGTGCGCACCGCGCCGCCTCCTCCCAGGCAGGGGTCCAGGAGACCGGAGCTGAGCTCTGGCGCTGGGGACTGACTCCATGCTGTGGACAAAGGCGCAACCCAGTCTTGGGGACTCCAAAAAGACTGGGGGGAATCCTGAAATAGCATTTGGTAGCTGACAAAGCAAAAGGAAATTTGATTCTAGCCTTAACTCGGTGCCCCAGCAGGAAAAATTATCTTCAGGTATATTAACTAAATTTAGTTTGATCACACACACACACACACACACACACACACACACACCCCACAAGTGTGTGTATATCCATATCCTGAGGATAGGCTGGATTTTAAAACGGTGATGAGACCAACTCTAGAGAGAGTTTGGAGAGATTTGTTCCCAGTCCAAAAACAAAACAGGAGAAAACAACACAAAAACCCGGAGGGCCTGGGTTTTTTGACTTGTAAAACTCGAGAGTCATGATAGACACGCCAAGATCGATCGCTCATCCAGGGGCTGTGGACCACCTTCAGTTGAGGGTGTGTGTTTAGGTTTGTTATTGGAATTTAAAGGATGTGATTGTATTGCCATAGAAAAATCACTTGCAGCAAAAGCATAGCATGGGTTGGGTCACTTTTTAAAGCTCCCGCCCTGCTGGTGAAAATATTCCCACCCCTTTAAGTGGGCGTTAAAGGAAAGTCAATTAGTAAGACTAGGAAGTTTTCTCACAGTCCTATAGACCCCCCCTTTTTTTTTTTTTTTTTTTTTTTGGTGAGAGAAAAAGGGCGATCCCTGTTGCAAGTGTCCAGTGTGGAAAGGCCATTTCCCTGGGCCACTGCTTCTCTACAGACTTCTCCAGCAATATACTAAGTATTGCTTTTTTGTTAAGAAATAAACATCTCTGTGAAAACTAAGTTGGTTCTGCACTGTCCTTTTCGGGCATCAAAGATGAAAAATTAGGCCGGGCGCGGTGGCTCACGCCTGTCATCCCAGCACTTTGGGAGGCCGAGGTGGGTGGATCACCAGGTCAGGAGTTCCGAACCAGCCTGCCCAACATGGTGAAATCTCGTCTCTACTAAGAATACACAAAGTAGCCAAGCATGGTGATGTGTGCCTGTAATCCCAGCTACTCAGGAGGTTGAGGCAGGAGAATTGCTTGAACCCGGGAGGGGGAGGTTGCAGTGAGCCAAGATCGCACCACTGCACTCTAGCCTAGGTGACAGAGCAAGGCTCTGTCTTGGGGGTGGGGAGGGAGTAGTAATAATAATAGGAAGCTGAGATGACATACCTGTGCAACTCAGGTAGTAAACCAAGTTTAATATAGAAAAGAATCGTTCACTGAAATTCACAAGGAAAAATATCCCGGAGCATCCTAAAAGAGGATGCAGAGGTGTGAGAACTGATGTTAGCTGTCGTGCTCCATGGTTTCATTCTGGGATGGGGTGGTTAGGTGATGTTAGGAGTTGAATTGGGATTGTCTGTGGTATGCGTGGGTTTTATTTTTTTCTTCTCTGTTTGACTTTTAGATTTCTTTCCCCCATAGCACTAAGCAATAGGGAAACATGGATGCATTTCTTCAAATGCACAACTTGGATAATCAAGTAAATTAAAGAGCAAATTTCAGTACTCTTGCCTCAGAACCACTGCCATCTCTGCACCTGTAACGCAGACAGTGAAAACGCTGGTTATTTATTTTGTACTTTCTGCCTCTCAGATCTCTAGCAAGTTGACCCGATTTTTACAGCCCTTTTACCCAAGCAATGAGGATTCTTCCCAACTCTACCTCCCCCCACCCCTCAACCCTATAACTGAGTGGCTTAGGAGATCTGTAACTGGGATGAAGCAGCTGTTGGCTTCATGCCGTCCTCTAACTTGATTATTCTTTGGACACGTTAGGCAAGCATTAGTGATTGATAATGACGCTAATTAACCCCTTTCCTTTCCAAACAGTAAACTGCTGCCAGCAGGATGCTACAAACAATAAATATAAAACACTGCATACATCAATATCTGTTTAAAGCACAACTTCATTTGGGCACATTTAACTGTACTGCTCTTTCAGTTAACAATTGGGTATTTATTCAAGTACTTCTCCAAAAGCCAAAGGGGGAGGCAGAGGAAGAAAGAGGGTTAAGAAAAGGAGCCTGTGGCTTTAAGACCACAAAATGCTGTCATACCTGTCAGCTGCAGCAAAGTTAAGCTCTAATGGAAACCATGCATAATTTTTTTTTTCAAGTCTACACTTTTAAAAAACTTAATTAATCCAGCTTTGTTCTTAACCTATTTAAGCTTAACGCAAGGCTGATGACCACAGATGATTTTTGTCTTTGTGGGGGAAAGTAGCTCTCCTGCCTGACATGGAATTATTGTGAATTTACTCTTGGCTGACAAAAGGAATGGGGAGACATTGTCTCTTTCAGAGAGTAGTAAAATGTATACGTTAAGCAGGATTTGGGGAAACCAGGGCAAATTTGATCTGATTGTGCAGTCTAACATAACCTGAGTTGTAAAGAAATGTACATTAAATTTGGAATTTTGATAAATGAATATTCCTAGCAAGTGAATAAAATGTATTCAATTAACTAAAACCCTGTGCACTTCTGAACTGAAGTGGAATCGACTGTAATTGATTTATTTGAAACCAGAGGTTAAGGACTGAATTAGCTAAGTACAACTGGGTATTTCAAGCCACTGACTTCTCAAATGTCAAATCCCTTCTATTTTAAATATTATTTCAGCTGCGGGGCATTGCAGTCCTGATGGTAGTTCCATCAAGAACGCAAATTATATTAATATTCAGTTTTGGGGAGGAATGGATGGGACTGTAATTTTTAAAGGGTGTTAGAGAATAGAGGGGGTACTGATGACTACCAAACTCGAAGGAGCATTGTGTTTCCATAAAAATTGGGTGCGGTAATTAGCATATCCTGGCAAGCATCGTTAGAATTCAACTATGTATCCTAATTTAGTTTAGTCCAAAAAAAATCACTGTTGTTAGTTTACAAACACCTGTCCTGTCAACTAGTCACCATGTGTTTTAGAAAGTATACATCAGTCACCACAGAGAAAGCCAAAATCCACATAGCCTTTGGTTAGCCCAATAAAAGTTATTTTTAATACAATCTCTCTAATCCTCCCATTTCTTAAAAATATACATAACTTCTTTTAAATTTTTTGTTTAAAGAAAAAGAGAGGGTGACAATATCATGATCCTCAAAATGTCCAACTACCGAATGAAAATAACTTAATTCTCTGCATTTGGAAACCACTGTTTATTATGACCTTGTAATGTTCTAACCCACTATTTCCTTTCTGTCTTTCTCAGGATGCAAGGATTATATTGGGTTCAGGTTTTCCAACATAACAAGCATCTGTAAATCCAGATATGAATGAATGGTATTTAATAAGATTGTTTTCGTTTTAAAATGAGTATTTATGTGTCGTTGGAGACAGAGCAGCAATGTATGGCTGTTTATGAATGCTATTGTGCCTGAGGTTAGGATCCCCCACACAATCTGAGATGCAGCCAAGAAAAACAGCCCTGATAGACAATGCTTCACTTCACCTGCTACAATGCTGTGTGCATTTCATTTCTGTCAAGAGTATGTACAGTTAGGGTTCATTCGCCTCATTATTTTGTTACATCTACGTTACAGTTAACCAGTCTCTCTAGGAAATAATAAATAACCGCTTTAAAAAACAATTGCCGCATTGCGTTCTGAGAATACACTTTCCATTTGAATTCTTTTTTAAACCCACCATTGTTACGAATTCTCTGGCTTCGGAAAATAGAATTTAGACTCCACCAACTCTCGTTCGTTTGTCGAGATTGATTTTACACTGCCTTCCATAAGGAGATTAGAAAGCAAAAGGCTGCAAAATGGACACTCTCTAATGCTTTGCTTCCTTGGTCCTTCGGAATGTCAGAGCACAGCACAAAAGTGAAATCTCCACCAGTGTGTCTACCTAGACACTTGTTCTGTGACCTTTCCTCGAAACCTTCCAGTTAACCACCTCCTTTTGCTTGTTAAAAATCCTCTTCACTTCCAAAGCAAAGAATTTCCAAATCAGTTTACAAAAGCTCTGGATTCGCCATCTTTATGCACAGGAAGTCCTTCCTTCTCTGAGCTCAGCACACAGTCCTCTTATTGTAGAAGACAGATAGGAGAGGTCTGGAGAGGCAGGCTTCACAGCCCTCCCCCATCCTCCCCACCCCACCTCAGAGAACATTTTGTATTTCTAAAAGGTCCTAAGAGGAGCCCTGTGGTGATAGGAAGGGGTGGGCTGGCATTTAGGGGGCAAGCAGGAAAGATTCCAGGGATCAACATCATTTCCCACTCCCCTTTCTACCTCGAGAGCTACTGAAGAACAGCACAGTAGTAAATTCATCTCTAAATAAAATATGAAAATAAATGGGAGACAATTTGCTCTCTCTTTCCCTGCTCCATGTATATTTCTGCCACTATTCCTTTTCTCCCACCAGAAAACTAGAGCTGGTCTGAGCTCATTTGCCTGTCTTAGCCACCGAGTAGCCTGAGCAAGCAAGTGAAGGTTGAAGCCGGTATTTCCTTTGTGCTAATGAACTAACAATTTAAATCTCAGTTATCCTCTGAGACAAATTCCAAAGCAGTTATGAGGGGAAGGGGGGCGCTGTTAGGCGGGGCGTCTGCTGGGGGGAAGCTTCTTCTGTTCTTCTCTTCTCCATCTTCCTTGTCATCCTTAACATTTGGTCCTGGAGATTTTGTATTTTGGTTTCCAAAACACAAATGATAACCTAAAGGATCAACATAAATAAAATAAAACTTTATTTTTAATAATAAAATTAATGTTTCTAGTAAGGAAAAGACAGTATGTCATTCCTTTAGCAGTACAATCTTTTATCCAAAAGAATACATTGGGTTTTATTGTGTCATTTGTCTGAATACAGACTCAGTGGAATATCTAAATGATACCCTGCTCTGAACTCCAAGTTGAAAGTAAGTTTTTATTATACTTGAGGGAAACAATGGGTTCAGCTGCTTATTGCAAGGAGCAATTGCCAAGGGAGAGTTAAACTCAATTACTGTAACCATACTGAATAAAAAATACTGCCAAGAACAAAAATACGCCTGGGTAAAGACAGCCACTGAATAAAAAAAAATCGACATAAAGCGTATCAAATATTTATTTATCTGGGCAACAAAGGACTATGATACATTGACAGGCATGGAAACTACTGCCAGCACAACTCAATACAATGCAACTAGAACTGCTTCCAATATGGCCAGTGAAAATACAGAATACCAGGTGGTCTCAAATGTTTGAAGTTCTTTGAACAAAAAGAGAGAGGAGAGAGAGACAGCGATAGAGAGAGAGAGAGGAAAATTCCCTAACCCTTGGTTTAAAGACAATATTCATTTATTGCTCAAATGATGCCTTTAAGTGAGGACAGTGGAATAAAATAAACTTTTTTTTTTCTCCCTACAATACATAGAAGGGTTATCAAACCACTCAAGTTTAAAAATCTTTCCAGGGTCCAATATCACTTTTTTTCTTTCAATTCAATGAAAAGCTAAATGTAATAATACTAATTACAGATAAAATTTTATTTTACCTTTTAAAAATTTGTCCAGTTGTTTGTCATCTTTAACATGCTACAACAGGGCTAAATTCATGAATCCCAGAGAGCAAAATCCCCCAAACATTGGATTTCTAAATCAGTACCATGAACCACATGAAGAACTAATAGGGAAGATTCAAAACCCACTAAACAAGAGGTAAACAAGATCAGATAAATAAAAAAAAAAGGCTTAAAACAGACTCACCATATTTACAATTCCCATTAAATTACACATAAATAAATATATACAGAGACGTGAACACTGATTCCCTTATATAACTGCGAATCGTGTTGCCAGAGAAACTTCAAGTTGGTCGCTTTACCTTAAAGAGGAAAAACTTCTACAACTGAAGACATGACATGGAACTTCGTGTATTTGTGTTCAAGTTTATTCACAATACTGATAAAAATGTTGTCATCATCCTTTTGGCTTTTTTTTTTTTTTTAAAGTATGGCTACAATCTGAACTGATGTAAGGGAAGGTGGTGACTCAGTCCCATGAAGCGCATATAATTTTTTTTATTTTTACTTTTTTTTTAGAAAAAAGTTTTAAATTTTTGTTGTTGCTGTTGTTGATTTGTTGTTTTGTTTAAAAAAAAAAAGGGGGGGTTCACAAACTCGGCAGAACGTTTCTCTGCTGGCTTCACGGCCTGTTCTGTTCTCTTAGGCTCCACATGAGGGCACAGGGGTGTGGGAGCGGGTGGGGAAGTCGAGGCGGGCGCAGAGTCGGAGCGGCTACCCCACTGACAGTCGAGAGAGCAGTTCCGGAGACTCGGAGGGGGACCCAAGGGCAGCGGCGGCGGCGGCGGCGGCAGCAGCAGCAGTAGCAGCAGCAGCAGGAAGGGTTGCTGATCCCGGAGCTGTCACCCGCCGGTGGGTGGGCGCGCGGGGACTGGTGAGGCGTGGGAGGGACAGGTCGGGAGAGGGCCTCACTTTCTGTGCTTCTCCTCTTTGTCACTGCTTTTGGCGTTGTTGTCCGTGTGGCTGTTGGGGTTGTTGCTGAGGTACATTTTGTCCATGGCCTTGAGGGCCTCGGTGAGATAGTTCTGCAGGGCCGTGACCGCGGCACACACCGCGGGGCTGCCGAAGCCGTGGGAGATGAGGTTGAAGTGGGTCAAGCAGCTCTGGATGCCGGGTTCCAGGATGGGGTTGGGCCGTGAGTTCCCCAGGGGAGATCGGTCCTGAGCCAGCAGGTCGGTGAACTCTTTGCATATCTGTCTGCGGCACAAGCGGAGCAAAGAGAGACATAAGGCTCCACTTTGGGCAGCACCCGGCAGCCCCCTCTGCGGGATCCAGGCAGCACCTGACATGACCCAAGGCCCCAGAGACGGACAGGGTGGCCACATGTTGGGAGACCCAGCCGCCTTTCAGTGACCACGAAACCATCTCTCTTTATTTGACTGCAAGCCCTTCCTATCTTCACAAATGACTCTCTCTCTCTCTCCTCTCAGATATGTTAAACTTCTAGTCTCACCTTTCTCCCTCACACCAAACATCCAAGACATAGGAAACCACTGCAAACATTGGAAGAGAAAGAAAGAAGTCAGGCAGACCGGAAGTCAGAAACGGGAGCATCTTGCCAACATTATGCTGCAGCCATCGGCCTTCCTATTCAAAATGTCATAAAGACCCTCTTCCCTGCTCCTCTAGAGACCTCAGCAGCAGTTTGTAGAATGAAGTTCCCACTCATTCACCTTCAAATCAAATTCAGGTGAATTTGGATAGAAAGACAAAACTTTACTTGGGATTACTTTGCCTTTAAAAAACAATAACAAAAAAACAAAACAGGCCAACACAAAAAAACCCTGTTACTTGGAGATAATTCAAAGTAGTGTTTGGGAAGAAGAAACACATTTCAATTTCCCATTCCTCCTCTTTCCCCACATAGCTCAAAAAAATACTGCAGGGAAACTGTGAAGATGGGTGTGCTTAGGAAGCCTGGGGAAGAGGACAAAAGTTGAAATTTCACAGAGGTAGATGAGGCCTGAACTCAGGAAGCTCTGCCCCTGAATCTGGGAAGCAAGGGCTAGCTGGGGCCTTCCAGGGGCAGCAGCAGCCTGGCCTGGGGGGCTGGGGAGGGGGATGAATGAGGAGCCAGGGCTGGCTCCCTTCTCCAAGGCCAGCTGATGTCCCCAGGCCAGAAACAGGGTCCCACCCAAGGCCTCAACTTCTGCCCTCTGCTTCCATGCCCTCCTGTGACATCAACTTTGATAATTAAGGGCTTCCAAACAAGCCTTTTAATTTCCAGAAAACATATCAAAACAGTCATTTTCTTTTCACACACCACCTGGAGAAGGCTATTCAGCCCAGGCACCGAAGGGAATATAACTTGGGCCATTTTGAAATCTATTTGACTTCTCGCCTGTGGGCTAAAACTTCTGTGGGGTGTGGGTCTGTGTGTGTGTGGGCGGGGCACTTTCGAGAAGGGGTTGTGAAAGGAAGGTAAGAAATGGAATAACGGATTAAGGTTGAAACTAGGACAGCTTCTGGCTTGCACATTTTACAGGCCACTGTTTAATCTTTGCCCTTGGAGAACATATTGATAGGAGACAAAAACTGATACAGGTAAGCCTGTTACACCTTTGAGGATTTGATTCTGGTCTTTCTGAAACAACATAGTTACAAATCCACCCTCAACTTCAATCAAACCCCTCCTACAAGCCACTCCCACACACATTCATTTAAAAAAAAAAAAAAAAAGAGAAAATGGGACAGATGAGAGGAAAAAGATGGGAGCACCCTAACAATTCCACCTGTATTTCTTCCTTAACATAGACCACGGTTTATAAGACAGTGTTATAACTGCAACAAAGCTGATTAACACCAAAGGAAAACAAGGGAGAAGGAAGAGCAAAAACGATTTTTGTTTCTCCTGACAACCAGACGCAGGGACCCTGCAAAGGTAAATGCCTTACTTTGTAGCCAGCAGCATGTTTTTTCTTGTCACTTGCTCATTGGGATCGGAATGTTGTCGGTTGAGAAATTCAGCTACTGCTTTGGCAGGAAATTCGGTTTCACACACATACCCAAAGTCCCTGGCTAGGTGGACAGCTTCTCCTGGCAAGAGGGGAGAGGAGGGAGCCAGTGTGAGAGAATGAAGAGTGGGGATCCCAACTTCCTCCCCACTACCAACTCCCTAATTCCCTTCACCCCAGATGTTGCAGGAAACACAAACTACTTGTTTTCTCATTTCAGGCATTTTAGTTCCTTCTCTATAGGATCTGGTGGATGCATTTATCAGGAAAAATGACCACTTCTCCTAGAGGGCCAAGAAGACTTGAAAATGTAAATTCCATCCACCAACCTCCAGTCCCATCCCCCACCCTAAATGACATGTCTCCAAATTCTCTTTTAAAATGCTTATTATATTCCAACTTCACACCTATCAATACATTCACAAATGATATTCATAATTACTCCTTGAGCTTTTCTGCAAGGGAACAACTGAGGGGTTACATTTTAACTTGATCACATAAATTATCTGTTCATCCAAACCGATTAACCAAGAGGATTTGAGGGTCACTCCACTGAGTCTGTCTGTGTTGTTGATTTTCGAATCTTTGGTTTTAATTTCCTGAACCAGTTGGTTTTTACTGCAGGGCTTCCTGCCATTAGCTCCAGCTCCGGAAGAACGCATGCGCCAATTAGAGCATCAAAGCCCTCTCCGCAGAGCTTGTTTCCATAAAATGGAGCGGATCACAAACAATAACAGTTCTCCAGAAACTGCCTCCCTGCTACAGAACTCAACCCCCAAACCCAGAGGAACTCCACGCTACACCCTAAGCCACTACTACCATTTTCTTGGCTTATAATTCTTTTGGAGTATGAATAGTGGGTTCTCTATGGACTGTTAGGATTTTTAATGTAATGCTACTGTAGTTGAGTTTCTGGCACTGAACAATTGCTGATTTCCTAAAGTTATATTACTACCAATCTCTGACATCATCAACAAAAGGAATTCATAGGATTCTTCCTCAAATATACGGTTTTAAACATTTTAAAACATAATTTACAAAGCTAGAAAAATTGAATTATAATATATCTCCTCATATACAAGATGTGAATAAAATAAAATGACTTCTTTAAATATACATGCTAGTTTCTGGTGATTAAAGTAACTTTTTTTTCCCCTGTTAGCATGAGACATTTACAATAGGACACAAAGAAAAACACAGGAGAGCAATAGATTCATTCCAGTACACCAAAACCTAGGCCAATCTTGTATCAGAAAAACTTAATCTAGAGGCAGCAGGAATGTGAGTGGCTTCTGGTGACAGTTATCTAGAGCAGGGAGTGAGGATAAGGGTTGGCTTTTTGTTTTGAGGCATTTGGAAGGGTGTGTGTGTGTTTAAAGCTACCAGGAGAAACTTTTTGCAATGCTTATATTTCTTTTATCTTTCCATATCCACACAATCCAGAATCAAAAATTGCTCACTTTTCTTCTTCTCCAAGAGAAAAGCACAATTAAAGAGATAAGGGAGCATATGTTTGGAAAACAAAAACCTGAAAGGGCACATAACCCTGAGCTTTCAGGATGGGCTTAAATCAGGACGCAGGTCAAAGATTCCCAAATTAATTCAGGAAGTAATGGTCACGCATTTCTCAAACGCAGATGTCAGAATAACTTAAGTGATTTACTGCTGAGCCCTTTAAAAGAGAGAGAAACTTGGAGAATATGCAGTTCTTAAACTTGTGCATTGTTTAGCTCGGAATTAGGCTGGGGAGGTGTAACTTTATGGTAGAGGAAAAGAAGGCAGAAGGATGAAGGTATAGGAGTATATGCAAATGTTTCTTTTTGCCATGAAAGAATTCCATTCACATCTGGCTATATTCTCTGCAAAGATGAAACTGCCCAACTGACACAAAATACAACCAAACATCTGGCCACTAAATATTATCCATTTTCCAAGGAAGTTCCTTCTAGTTAGCAAGTGGATTCGCTTACCCTCTACTAGTGATGTGAGCAGGGTAACGTTGGCAGCTTTACGTCTCCCTGCAGGCAGATTTAATCCTATTTTGTCCAGTTTTTCTCTTAAAGATCTTCCTCCATTTTTAGACTTCGCCCTGTTTCACAAATATATGCGAGAAAGGGATTTAGAAAACATTGGGTTGCTGTGCACCACATTAAAATCATTGTGAAAGCTTCCTAAAATGTGCTTTCAAAAACTGAGAAGCTTGGCCCCAAGACATTTAAAGGGGGAAACCTAGGAATAGTACAGAAAGTTCACAGGAGATCAACGCCTGTTAAACTGTAAAGCACCCCCTATGTTCAGTTCAGTTATTATTGCAACTCTTGTGGCAGGTTGGAAGGTCTGATTTCCCAACTCTCTAAAGAAGAACCACAAACAAACAAACACAGCCCCATCTCTAGGGTTTGAGGTATTCTTGAGTTCAACTGATTACTGTATATTTTCCCTGCTGTTACAATCACACAAATCCCAATGGGGTCTTTAAAACTGTCTTTGCAAGATACGCTGTTAGGTTGTTCCGAGTAACCAAAGTTATCATCACTCACGTTTCTTGCTCTGGCTCTAGCCCCAAAGGGAAATTCATTTTGCCAACTGTTTACGTGCCATGTCACCAGCCTAACTGGAAATGTCAAAGGCTGATATCAGCCCTTAAAAGTTTCACTGATTTCAGAGACAATGGAGGCAGTTCTAAACAGATGTCTAAATAGAATCCCATAATCAGAAAGTGGTTAAGATAAATTGTTTAAATAAAACAGCAAATTAATTAATTTCAGATTTTATTCCCTACTCAAGTGCTCTTTAATTGTGTGGATTAGATTATACTCCCCTAGGTAAACAGTCTCCAATATTGGGGATGGGGGAAGGGAAGGAAAAAGCAGAGGGCAAGGAAAAGATCTGTGTGAGTGAAAGATTACAAAGGGAAAGCAAAATGACTGTGCAGGAGGAAGAAAATACTAGAATGGCTGATGTTAAAACCTTCCAAAAAATGATCTTTATAGGCTTTGTGTGGAATATAGCCACTAGAACGGAACTGCGGGTCCATAAACAGATAGGTAAATGAATAACCGTCAAAACAATGAAGTTCTCAGTATTATTAAAGAAAGAGAAAGAGAAGAAACCTATTATCCGGGTAAGTTCAACACAAGCCCCACAATTCACAACGTGCGGTGGAATCCTAGGGGTAGGAAGCCCACAGCAGGGAGAAACCTGCCCTGAGGGAAGGTGCTTTACCTTGCTGACCCTTATAGAATCTTATCTACTAAATGGATCCCTCAGACCTCGCAGGGGTGAGGTAAGAATCCCTGGCCATGTATGTAACAGATGCATTCCTTGGTAGTGACTACACACAATGCACGTAAACATGCTCGCACGCAGCCTGGCACACATCAGGGCCCCAGTAAGATGGAATCATCATCATATGTAAACGCCTATAGTACGGGGGGTCGGGAGGTGAGAGCGAAAGGGGGGCATGGCGTGTGGACTCAAGAGGACACCATTCTCTTCCTTTAGTTAAAAACCATTCTATTAAAACCCTATCCAAGGCACGACCGGTTATCCTCGGAGACCCTACTCAGTGGGGTAAGGCAAAGCGAGGAGCCTGAGAGGAACTTTTCCTGGGCTTGCAAGGTGTGCGCGAAGAGGAAAAAAGGTGGCTGCACGGCGCCCCGCGGTTGCAGCGGCCGGGACTGAGCCCGCGGAGGAGCGAGCTGCGCTTGCGCAAGGAGGAGGGCGGGGCGGAGGACCCCGCGAGCGCGCGGCAGCGAACGAGGCGCGCACCAAAACACGCCCGCGAGAAGGCAGCGGAGAGCGCAGGCGCGCGCCGAACGCCCGCCGCCCCCACCCCCGATCCCGCCCACTTGGTTCTACGCTCTTTTCTCCACCCCTTTCCCTTTCCCGCGTAGGGAGGGCCGCGGCGCGAGGCCGGTTTGCGTCGCCGCCGCCGCCGCCGGCGGCGCAAGCGCAGTGGTTCCCCCGGCCGCAGGGCGGGGCGGGCGGGGCCGTGCCGGGCCTCACCTCCGGAGCACTCCGCCCAGCAGCGACGCATTGAGACACTCGGGTGGTGAGAGCCGCCGCTGTACTTCCGCCACCGTGACCTTGTACTTCGAGGTGGAGCTGAGGAGCGAGAGGCGACCCGGAACTGAACAGAAGACTTCGTTGGGGTTCACCACGCCGCCGAAGAGGTTGTCCTTGTTAATAGGGATGGCGGAGACTGCATTGCTGTTGGACTTGGACAGGGACACGGGGCCTGCGGAGACAGAGGGGAGGCCGCGTGTTGGGCGTCATGGATCACCCCCAAATCCTGCCCGACCCCGGCCTTCATCCCGGCCAAGGTCGGCTCCCAGGCTTTGGGCCACAGTCCCCGCTTTTCCGTCCGCCTCTGAAATTCTGTGGCTCTGCTACTTCCCTTCCTCGGCCTCGAGCCCCTCCCTGCCTCACGCGGCGGCCTGGAGGCGGCCCTGCCCTCCCCCAGCCAGCCTGGCCAGCGTTTCTGCCTTGACCCTTTCCCCTTCGCCGTCAAAGGTGCTCTCTAGAGATGGGTGGTGAAATTGGTGAGCCCTGAGGCTCTGAGCATCCTAGCGGAGTGGGCCCCAGATGAGGTCCAGGAGCACAGGTTCAGGGTTCAGAGAGGGAGTTACATTTGCAAACCGAGAGCAAGTTACTTGTACTTCAGGGGTTTTGCTGGGTGAGGGGTTTAGTGTCGGGGAAAAACTGCTTCAAAGACCTATTATTAAAATCAGCCGAGAATTTAGATGGCTAAACGCTGTAAACGAGCGTTTTAATTGAGGCATCACGCTGGGAAGTGGTGGATTTTGTTGTCCACACCACACGTCCAGTCTTTTTGATAAATAGGCCCTTTCCTATGTTCAATTTTGAAAACGTCTCAGTTTTGGAGATCCATTCCAAGGCCCGTTTTGAACTGCGGAGTGGGGAGGGAAGAAGAGGCCTACAGTGGAATAATAGCAATGTGCCCTTTTGTTAAGTAAATATTAATAGCTCCTCTCTGCTAAAGCGCCTTTATGGGGAAAGTGGATATATATACTTCCTAGTTAAAACCATAAGCTCTTTATTGTTGGACTACCATTGTTAGGAAAAAAATAGAAGACCTGCAGAAAGTATAGTAATGCATTACGTTTCTCAGCATCAATGTAATTCAGATGCATCCACAGTCATTTAAGTACAGTATGCATTGTATTTCAAAATTCCATTTGGAGACATAATGTGCACACAGTCTCATCAGTGTTCCGTATGCGTTCTTTAATGGGGATATGCTAGACGTATAGGGAGGTGGGGGGCTCTAGGTTTTGGATAGATCACTTGTGACATTAATAGCTCTGGGGAGGCTAATAGAGACAATAGGAGTTAAACGAACTCTTGAGAGATTACTAATAAAAGAGCCAATTATCATGTCGACTTGGAAAGAGCATCTCTTAAGATTTATCCCTTGCACATCTAATTTGACGTGACAAAGACTTCACAGATGCAAAAATGAAACTTTAAACTAGCTAACAATATACTGATTGGGGTTAGAAATGAGAACAGTTTTATATAGCATCGTCCTCTGGTGGTGCCTAGAATCCTGAAATGTAACATTGCCACCATAACCAAAAAAAAGCTGCTACCAAGAGTGAATAGCATTTAATTCAGTAAACTTTATTTCTACTCACTAAACACAATACAAATTACAAATCCATTCAAATCACTTGACACTTTTCTAACAATTTCTGCTCTGAACAAGTATGGTAATAATCCTCACATCTTCAAGATACTAATTTTAACCAAAAGCTAAAATTTTGTTAACCTAATTCACAAAGTTCCAAGACCCTTAAACATCTAACAAGAAACTAAATTGAAGAACATGAATTTTTTTCCCCTCTGCTAAAGAGTGCTTTTTATCATCTGTCCTTACATTAATGTTAAATTATTTGTACTATTTTAGCATTTTACACTTCTTAACCCTCATCCACGCAATGGATTAAACTATTAAACTGTTTCAAAATTGAAATGCCACTTCCAAATCAGTTCCACTACTGTACATTTTGTGTGTTTGTCCAAATATCATTAAACTAAATTAAATGGTTAAATCATGAGTCAGAACAAAGCTAGCCTGTTGGCATTACCAACATACTGAAAGCTGATTATTTAAGCATTGCTGTTCTGTGCCTATCTATTTGCTAATTCTGAGCCTTTAGGAAATCCTATTTGGAAAAAATAAACACAGCTCTGCAAGTTCTTTTAAATAGCACTCTGCCTGTAAGGACATGCTTGGAATGCAGAAGGAAATGGCTTACCTTTCTTAATTACAGTTTGATCTGGGATGTTAATACCCGGGTCTTCTACGTGCTGCAACAAAAGGATACACATGGATGTAAGTGTATAATCAAAACAAAAGGAAATGAATATTCCCTCCAAGATGGGAGGAGGGGAAGGTGCAGAATCAAAATTCCCCCTCCCGTATAATGACATTTATATGTAAACATCTCATCTTGGCTTATTGGAATTTGGGGCTTTGCAACTCAAGAGGTTTCACTGCACGCCCATGGCCAATTTCTCCTCCTCCAGCAAATGATCCATGTTTAAAAGGCGTGGAGATGAGGAATAAAACTTTCTTTGGAAATTAAATCAAGTGTTGGAGCACCTAATCATTCTCAAGTCAGTTCAACATTTAGAAATGTACCTAGCTTTAGATTGGCGCCTCAGCGGCTTCTGAATTGAGCAATTCCAGTGTTCAGGCAGCGAAAGCCAGGGAAACACAATAGAAATGACAGGGGCGGAAGTAACAGGAGAGTGTTGGAAAAGGTTTAGGTAGTATAATAAAGAGCAAAGACACATACACACCTTTATGGAAAACTCCAAATAAATTTTTAGAAAGACTACTGCCTGAGCCTGGATGTGACAGGAATATGAAAATGATTAAAAACAAAAAACCTTTGAGCTTGCTTTCCTGTTGTCTAGCAGCAGGTTTGTTGGTGGTGTGGGGTGTTTTTCTTTTTCTTTTTTTTTTTTTTTACAGATGGATGGGTATACGTGTGTGTGCTGGAGTCAAAACGTGATTAGAAAGTAAAATGAAATCATGTTTTCTAATGCAGAAACTGACAGGCAATATAATGTCTGGCTGTGTTTACAAATTAGCACCAGGGCTGCTGAGATAGAAGATTTTGCAATCATTACCAAACACAGGCATTACCATTTAAAAAACTATTACTTCCTTCTCTAGTCTTTGTCCAACAATAATACTGATTCGAACATTTTCCATTCTGTCTTGGATTTATGCTCCTGTTAATTGTGCCTGATCGCAATGATTCCGGGTGGATGGTACTAAGTTGCTTTATTACAGGTTTTATTATACTCAATGCTCTCATTTGTAACTTGCCTAAAGTGCTTCTGGATTTAAGTATAATTAAATTGAGAAATGTTCAGAAATGACTACTGCTGCAGTTCTTGTGTTTTTAACTATATGGGGAAATATGATCCCTTTATGCATGCACCCTAAACCCATAAAGTAAATGTAGTGTGGCATAATACTTTTATTTGTGTTATTTCTAGACCTTGTCCATACAGGGAAGACTGTTAAGTTTAAAACCCCACTGAGATATTAATGATTAAATAATTTTCACCATCGATTTGATTTTCTTAAATATTTAGCAGTTATACTTACTAAAGGTTAACTGTTGCAGCAATGGGAAAAAATTGAAAACAACCTTTTTCTTGACCCAAATTCCTTTGAAAGAATTTTTTTCTTAAAAGATGGGGGAGGAAGAGGGAAGAACACCAACTGGGTTTCCTTGTTTTTATTTCGTCTTTTGGTTAATTTCTGGTACTGACCAATTTTGCCACAGTGAGTATACAGGTGTTAAGAATTCACCTTGAAATTTTTGCAAAGTAGAGCAATTCTAATTCACAGTAGTTCCAAAAGCTTGCAACATTATTTTGCAATTCAAATCTTTTCAAAGAAGCAAGGAAAAGATTCAGAGTGCTTTGGGAAAGGGAACTAAAACGATCATAACTCCCATTTCGTGTTTAAATTGCTCTTATATAAATTAGTGCTCCTCTCACTTCCAAAACAATGCACTGTTAAGTATCAGTTCCTAAAAACATGTAAGTATGAACACACACATACAGACATACAGTGCTCACTAAACCTTATACTAGATCAAGTGCCTACTTTCCTGCCTTCCATGCAAGGGCTGCTAAACATAACCAACAAATTTCAGTGACTAACTGGGCCAAATGAGAGATGTAATAAATTTTCTATTTTCCTATGGAACTTAAATAATGTTTTAAATTCACCAAGCAAGCAGGTAAGTTCATCTGACCATTTTCCTTACAATCTAATGTAGTAATCATTAAACTGTCAACGGACATACTGCTGCAATATTTGATGCAGTAATTTGAAATAGCATTTTAGCAAAAATCACATCCAGATACATTTCCTCTCCAAAGAAAAGCAGCTTTAACAGAAGCCTTTACAGCTTTAATAAAATTATTGGCTTGCTCTAATTCCATTTCAGGAAGGTTGTGAGGAAACCATAAATATATAGAATTGAAGCAGAGGTACTGGTTTAATTCCAGAAAGTATTTTCAAATTATCAATAGCCTGGTTTGCATTGTAAATAGTAAATGTGCTAATGCCATGCTTCTTTAGAAATTATTTTAAACTGCATTTATTGATAACTAAATTAGAACTCAATGTATTACCCAATAGTCTCAAAACATTTAATTTAATATGGGGTGTAGCAGGCTCTGATAGGCGTTGGGAACCCAGCTAATGATTTATGAGGTCACCACTTAGCACCCCTAGGAAGAGAAGAAGGCTGCATTTTAATGTCCCTCTGCTTGGATTTGCTACTTAGTTTTTCTTTAATCTGGATAGGGTGTACACATAACTTTCAGGTTTCACTTGTGCTTATAAAATCCGGTTAAAATGATCTTAGTATGTCTTTTACACTTCTTTTACATTTTGAGGACATTTAATGAGCTCTTTTGGTTGCATTTAACATCATTCCCAGGACAGGGAGAGATCTCCACGCCAGACTCAGCGGTGGAAGTAGATCTTTTAGCAATTGAGACAGTTTACTGTCGTCGAGAGGAAGATATTGTTAATGGTGACATTGGTCTGATTTATCTGTGTTGGTGGAAATGGTAATGCAGGCATTGTTTGAGGGAGCTCCAGGAACCATTGTTCTGGGGCAGAACTCGCAACTACTTTGTGTGGTTCCTCAAAACGTACCCCCCCCGCCCCCGAATAAAATGTTTTTAAAAGGAAATATTGGGGAGTACCCGGGCCCACCGACTCTATGTTCCAGGTATCCTTTTTGGGGGTAGGCGAGAAGGGGGCTGTGTTCTCTCCCGCGCGGGTCGCGCGGCCTCTTACCGGGACCTCCTCGATGGCATGAGGTAAGGAGTGGATCGAGAGGTCTCCGAGTCCTGAGCTGAGCGCGTGTGGGCCGTGCAGGAGGTCCTCGTGCCGCCTGTAGTCCCTGCGAGGATCCAGGCCCGACAGCTGGTGAGGCAGCCCCCGGTGGGTGTGCAGGAGCCCTGACTCCTGGCTCTGCCTCTGACCGGGCCAGCCTGGGTGCTGCGGCTGCGGCTGGGCGTGCAGGGGGTTCAGGCTGTAGGGGTCGTTGACGTGGGAGTAAGGATCTTGCGACTGGGGGTAGATAGGCTGGTAGGGTGGGGGAAAGTAGGGGGGCTGGAAGTCGGCATTGGGGGTGTGGGACAGCGGCGGGGCGCTTGTGTAGGGAGATTGACCTACAGTGCCCAGCTGGGGCAACCGTGCCGTCCCGTTGCTGGTGCCGTCGTGACGGTCCTAGAAGAGAGCGAGAGGAAAGGTAAAGAACAAGGAATCAGGCGCCGAGCTACAATTATCCACACAAAATCCACTTGACAAGCCTGCGTGGGAAATCCCCCGTTCCCGTTGGCAGGCCGCCGGGAAAAAATCAGCTCTAAGTTCTTTTCAGGAAATACCCTCAAGTGAAACAGACCCTCCAACAACGCAGAGGAACTGTGTATGTAGAGGCACAAGAGACTATTCAGGCGTTTCTTTCAAAGAGGGGAAGAGATAGCAAAGGGTCTCCTGGAACACAGCCCATTACACTGCAGCGTGAAACCTCTCTTAAGCAAAATTAAAATTCCTCCTAAATACTAAACAGCAGAAGCGGCCTTTTCTTTTCCCCCTATTTGAACCTGTCTGCCACTGCGTTATTGTTTATTATCTTGTATTTATTTGGAGAGAAAAAATCATAAACGTTCAAAGACTATTACCGTTTCATAACTATTTAAATAGAAACATATTTCGCAGAGGGGCTGTAACGAAAACACACGTTTAAATTACCAGCTTAAAGAAGGTTTTAACTGCAGGATCGGGGTCTGTCTTTTCCGCTTCCTCAGTTAGGAGCCTTTCTCTCGACAGAGTCGATTTATGGTTTGGATAGGGAAAGGGGGAGGTCAAGTCAAGGTTTAAAATAGAAAGATTCAGCCTTATTGGGTTTAAAAGAGAGAGGTGCACCCCGGGGCGGAGGCCCCCCGCCCCTTCCACCTCAGCCCCAAAGGGCAGAAGAAACGCCTGACTGTAGGTTTCTCTATTGCAATTCGCTTGCAAAACAAGCGAACAGAGTTGATTCCAGGGACGGCGAACCCTCGGCGGTTCAGCCGCAGGCCCCGAGGGTAGGGGGCACACCGGGCTGCACTTTTCCTGCAGACAGATTAAGCATCAAATGTTGAGAACATCTCGGGAACAAGTGAAGACGCAAGGAAATCAAGATGAACGTGGGGAAAAACACGCCTTGGGAAGCAGCGGCGAGGTAGGTCTGCGTGCTCGGAGAGGTCGAGCGGGGACTGGGGTAGGAGGTAATGCATTCGATTTAGGGATGAAAAAGAACGAGAGAAAGGCGGAAGGTGGGGTGGGGGATGCAAATGGAGGGGGTGTCCTGAAGGAAAGCTGGGCGTGAAACCCGAGGTTTCGGGCAGCTCCACGGCACCAGGTTTCCAGAATCGAATTCCTAAAGAAACAGGAACGGGGTGGGGGTGGGACTCACCATAGCTGAAAAACTGTGAACTAACATCTGCGAAGAGTCTGGGGTAACGAGTCAGGGTGGAAAAAAACAAGCAAGCCTGGAGCGCCCGGCTGCCCCGCCGCCCGAGCGCGCCCCACACAAAAGGCGCCGAGAGCCCCGCGCGACCCAGGACTCCAGTCACGGCGCCGACGCTCCCCGGAGCGCGGGAGCCCGGCTCGGATCCATCCGAACTTGAACCACCGATTCGCGCGGCGCCTTCAGCTGGTCGAACCCACGGTCTCTATCCTGCCGCGACTGGTTATGATTCAAAGTTCTTTAAAAATGAAAAACCCCGAAAAAGGAAAAAGTATGTGTAAGTGTGTGGGTGCGTGCGTGTTCCTTAATCCGTGTCTCCCCCTCTTTTCTTAGCGGCGGCTTCGCTTGAGCTTCTAATAACCGCGCTGGGCAGCGTTCCTGGAGCCTCCTAATAGCAGATATTCATGACTATTAATATTACACGAATACTTAATAAGGGAAGAATGCCTGGAAATCGAGCGTGAAGCGGAGAGGCAACTCGCGCCGGAGCCGGCTCTCAATGCAGTCCATTGACGGGAGTCTCAGTGTAGCAAATCGGAGTGGGGAGAGGGAGCGCGAGAGACAAAAAGCGGGCGAGAGAGGGAGCGGGCGAGCGCGCGGGGGGCCGCGGCGCGGCGTCTGGCGAATCACAGGGAAGGGGCAACATTTTAAAAGGTTGCAGGGCATGCAAAAGTGAAAGAGAAAGAGGCAGAGGGAGACCGAAGGAGAGAGCGCAGAGAGGGAGAATGTGTCTGCGTGCGTGTGTGAGAAAGAAAGTGTGGGCGAGGGAGAGGAGCCCGGGGTGGGGAGAGGGGAGGGAGGGAAGGAGGGAGAGCCGAGAGGAGGAAGGGAGGAAAAGAGGGAGGGAGGGAGGAAGGGAGAGGGGGAGGGAGAGGGAGAGGGGGAGGGAGGGAGGGGGAGGGGGCCCAGCCAGAGCGCACGGAGGGGGAGGCCGCGGGGGAGGGGGAAGGGGAGAGGAAGCGAGCGAGGACAATCAGACCTAAAAGGCTGGGGCAGACCTCGGGATGCAGCGGGGGTCGTGTGTAGCGGGCAGGAGCTGCTGGGGACCGCGTCCGGGCGCTCGTGGGGCTCTCGGCGCCGCAGGCGCTTCCCGGCCCTGTCTGGCCTCGGGCTCCGCCGCTTCGCAGCCGAGTCTGGGACTCGGGACTCAGCTGCCCGCTGCTGCGCGGCTCCTCCATGACCCCGCGCCCCGCCCGGGACCGGCCCTCTCGCGCACTGGCCCTCTTCTCGGCTTCCTCTTGAGCTTTCCTCGGACAGGGGCACCGTGCGCTCCCGGGCCACCGTCGCTCTGCCTTCGGCTCTCTGGGGCCGGGGATTCCGGATCGGAAGCCGGGATGCGGGCCGGGGCGCGCACAGACGCTAGGCGGCCCAGCCCGGGCGCCGCTGGCACGGGCTCGCGGCTCCCGGCAAAAACCCGTCCGACTGGCTGGGCCACTCCCGCCTGACGCCCCCCCAGATGACACGACTAGCTCTCCAGGCGTGCTGCCTTTGCCAGTCTACCCGCCAGGTTGTTAGAACAGGCGGCACCTCGTCTTCTGCGTGTCCCTGCAGAGCCCCGGCACAATCAGACTGCCCCAAGCCAACTCCGAAACCCGAAATCCCCGCTCCGGCGCTTGCCCGCCGCCGCCAAAGTTGTGGAAACAGCTTTGACTTTATTCTCCTCTCTCTCTCCTTTCTTATCTTTTTTGCCTCGCTTACACACGCATTCACATTTGCCCCCACAGGATCCCTCTATGGGTGCAAGTTCATCCCCCACCTAGCCACCCACCCCACCCAGTCGGCGCCTAGAGCCGCTCGGAGGTTCGGACCCCGCCCGCCGAGAGCGCCCACACCTGGAGCTGGGTTTCGGCCTCTGCGAAAGTGAAATGCCCGAGCCTCCAGCCAAAGCCCAGACCAGTACAGTATGAACTGTCCTATGAGACTGAGGGGCTCAGTTTCATTCCTCCCTGCCCGCAAAGCTCGCCCCCAGCCTCGAAAACAAAGCTACTGGTCTGACGCGGGGTCCCTGCGCCCTTCCCCCAGCGCGACAGGACCCACCAGAGAAGAACCGGCACCCGTGGGATGTCACCCCGTCCCCATCTACCGGGATGGGGGGCCTGAAAGGAGAAAGATTTAAAATAGTCTTCAGAAAGAAAAGGGAGGAGGGAGCGGGTGACACATCGTTCACATAAACCCGATTTCTGGTTTCCAGTGAAGTCAGGATCTCCGCCCCTGCGCCTGCACACCTCCTGCCTAACATTCTCAGCTCCAAATGCCAAAAACTAAGGGGGGAAAAAAAACAGCAAAAGTTGGGACTGCCACCTATTTATTTAGGGAATCTCCAGCCCTACACACCCCAACCCCGCTCTCGGACTCATTGCTCATTTCAGTGATGGTTGTGACCGTTCCCAGCGCCTCCTGCGGGTGGACCGGTAGCGCTAGGGTCTCCCTTGCTGCCTCAAGAAGGCGAGCTCAGGGGACTCTAGGTTTTAAAATGGGTTCCAAAGCGGCGCGCTCTGTCGGCCCAGCGGGCTCGCGGCACCAGAGGTGGTCCGCAGCCGCGCAAGGATTCCCACGGTCGTTCTGGGCTGGTGCAGAAGCTGGTGCTCCAGTGCCCAGCGGCCAGCAGGCTCGGCGAGGCACATCTCCCCACCCCACCCCCACACACCCCCGTGGAGTGCGTCGATCCTGTAGCTTAGAGGGAGAAGCTACTTAGAACTTCTTGAACCACAGAGGATCTGGAGCGAGCCCCGCAGCTGGAAAGAGTGGTCTTAAGTTGAACCCGCTTACAGTAAGATGCAGCCCAGATCACAGCGAAGTGTGGGGGCCCGTCTCTAAAGCCGAGAAGGGAACCGCTTTAGAAAGTGGCGTGGGGGGAAGAAAGAAAGAATGAATGAATGAATAGAAAGAAGAAGGAATATTAAAGATCGGAGAGGAAGTTGAAGAGAGAAGAGTTTTCTCTTTCCTTTCTGTTCCTGGTGACTTGGGCCCTCAGAATCTCGATGAGGATAACACGAGGAGTGCACAGGCAAGTGCCCAGTGGCCAGCAATTGCTTCAAAAGCCCATGTTCTTCTCTTCGCCCCACTCTTAGGCACAGCCAAAATTGGTCAGAAAGGGGAGTAAAGTGGGACACGGGCTTCAAAGTAGGGAAACCAAAGAAGGGAGCATCCACGTCCTCCCTCTCCAGCTTCTCCCCCGCGTTCTTCGGGCGAATCCGAGGGGCGGGCGCTGCGCTGGGGAAAGTTTGTCCCACCCGCGTTTCGCAGCTGGTTGCAAGGAGAGGAGGAGGAGAGGGAGGGTCGAGCTCGGAGCCTGTGGGCGCAGGGATGATCGAGCCGGCGTCGCGCTTACCTCGCAGTCCTCGTACTTGATATTATCTGTCAATTTCCAAAGCATTTTCATGGATCGGCGTGAACGGATATGCCCCTCTCCGTCTCGCACGCAAGTGGAGCTACTCTCTGGGTAAGCGCAAAGTGCTGGCTGCCGGCGGTGAGCGCAGGAGGAGGAGGAGGAGGGAGAAGAGGTGGAGGAGGAGAAGGAGGAGGGCGAGGAGGAGGGCAAGGAGGAGGAGGAGGGCGAGGAGGAAGAGGAGGGCGAGGAGGAGGAGGGCGAGGAGAAGGGCGAGGAGGAGGAGAGAAGGGAAAGAGCTCCCGTGTGCGCTCGGAGATCTCCCTCTAATGGTAGAAACTTTTCCCTTTTCCAGCTCTTTACCAACAGCCTAATCGCCTCATTAGCATATCAACAATAGTCCAATTGCTCGCCAGTACCACAATCTGCCGCCGGCCGCTCCGACACAGGTATAAAGGCCTCTCTACGCCGCGAACTTGCTTCTAGAGCGCACTCTAGCCTGCGAACTGATAAAACCTTTCTTGAGCTCCGCCGCGAGCCCCTGTCCCAGCACCACCTCTCTTACCCCAATTCCGCCACATTCCCCTTCCTTTCTCTCTCCGCTTCCTTTTCTCCAGAGATGCCTTCTGCAAAGCCCGGCACTGCTCAAAGTCCAAGCCGCCACGCCTGGGGCCCGGCTTCTAGCACTTCTCCCTTAACCCTACTACCACGATCCGAGCTGCCCTTTTGGCCCCGTGCAATTTTATTAGAAATCATTATCCCTTTCGCAATTAAACATAACCACCAAACCAAGACCGGCGAAGTTACTCCAAAATTTTTGCCCAACAAGGGATCGCCTCCGCTTGCGGCAGCCACCCCCTCGGGCCGCAGCGCCTTGGGAGTTTTATTGGCTTTGAGCTTTCCCCCAGGTCGGAGATTCTGCCAAGCGACTCCGGTGGCTCTGCTGGGGTTTGCAATCCCTTAATTGCGGCGTGTAAAATAAAAGTTGTACCCTGAAGAGGTTACTTGACAGCTTCGGGGGTTAAACAATTTTCCTTCGGTTTGTGTGAAGCTAGGGCCAACTGACAGTTCAACTTGGTGTTCAGGCTAAGGTTTCCTAGGTGCGACTTTACTGCACACCCGCTTCTGAAGTTGAGCCGAAATACAGACATGTGTGTGCCTGCAAGTCTAGATACCGTCTCATGCATGCATCAAAATAAATCACCGGGAACCGACTCTTAGCTGTGTTAATCTGCTCTAGTTTTCCCAAGATTCCCCTTTTTAATTAAAGCAGGGAGAGTTCCTTCATGATTTGGTGATGCTACTAACGCAGGCGTGCTCGCGAGGCAGAGCCCGGCTGCCGCGCAACCTGGAGGCCTGGGAGCCACCTCCTCGTCCAGATTGGTCAGTCCGGGCTTTTGGACTCCTCACAGGAGCCTGCTGGCTCCTCCGGGGCTTTTATCCCTTTCGTTTTTGGGATTTTTTTTAAGTAAGAAAAAAGAAAAGAAAAGGACCTAATGTGACACTATGAAATACAGAGTAATTAATTTTCCTGGCTGAGCTTCCTCGTTTGTCCTCCAAAAGAAAGTTACCTCTGTCTTTTCTCTCTGCTGTATGTGCAAACTCCTTAACTACACTAGGTCCCACCTCAGAGTTGCTCCAGTAAGGACCTTTGATTCATCTGGGCTTGTTTCTCGAAAACCTCCAGGCCTCCCAGGTTTCCACCGGGCGTCCCTAAAAGGGGATGGGAACTGTGGCAGATGAGAGCATTTCCACACAGGTGGAAGGCAGGCAGGAGCTGGGAGAACTCCCCATTCCACCCAAAGCTGCAGAAGGGGAATTCTCCCTCCAAACACCCCAGCGAACTCCCCAAACCTAGCAGAGTAGGCAGAAGGCTTCAAAAAGCTAAGGAGAAGCCAGAGCTGGCAAGGGGCCTCAGAGCCCCCAGGGAGCCCTCCCCATGCTCTGGGCGCTCCCTAGCCCCACCTGAACTGAGCACAATCCCTCGGCTGAACCGGACTGGAGGCTTGGCGCCGCCCTCCGTCCAGAAAATGGTCGACTTTCCAGGGCTAGACCCTACAGGGCGGTCCCAGCCTGTCGCCAGTGCAGTGGTTTGAAGTCAGGATCTGGGCTGCCAGGGGCACCGACACCCTCCCAGCAGCAGCCACAGCCTGAGCAGGCCAAATCCTAGGCCTGAGAGCATGGGTTTTTACACTCAGTTGACGTCGCCGCGATGTTCGTAAGGGAACTCCAAGTTTCGCTTTCTTGCCCTCTGCGGGCTTGGGAAGGCCGCACTCCATCCTCTGCAACCCCATTTCAACCCCCTTCCCACGTCCCCGCTGCCCTGCGCAGGACAGATCTCCGGCTCCGCACCCTCCCGGGCTGCTAAACTGTTGTTGTATTCCCGCTGAGGACGCCATTGAGGTGCAGATTGGGACCTGCCGACTCTGGACTGCCGCCCCCGGTGTAGACGCTGATGAAAGGCCCAGGCGAGCGCCAGGGTCGCCTCTGGAGCCAGCCGAGCTGCATTTGTGCCAGCGTCATTACCACGCTAAGTCGCTTCATTGCATGTCAATGCTCCGGCAGGGCCAGAACCCCGGGACAGCAGCGCCAGGCCTGGGGTTGGGCGTCGGAGATCCAGGCCTGATGTGAGGGCCATAAAAAGGGCGTCGGGGGGGAACAGGGAGTATTTGTGTGAGAGACAGAGTCACAAAGAGAAAGAGACAGTGAGAGGCCAGAATGACTCTATTTTCTCCGATTGCCAATGCCCAGTGGGAGCCGGGAGCCCAACAGGGCCAGCCCAGCAGATTCGACCCCTCCGGGCCCCAAATTCGCTCGCCCCACCCGAGATCCAGGCCTCCAGCCACTTGCCTAACTGAGCCCGCAGGAGCCAGGCCCGCGGCTCCCTCCTTCCTCCTCCTGCGGCAGTCTCGCGGCTTTCAAACCTTAGTGGAACCCACAGAAGGCCCAGTCCCAGGTCAAAGCTACTCAACAGGCACCTTCTCACTGCCTAGGAGTTCTCCAGCGAAATTCACTGGAATTTGAGGAGAAAACCCTAAGACTGCTACGAAAGGACTCCCCCAGTCTTCAGCCTCCAAATAAGAGAGTTAGGAAGGGCCTTCAGCCCACAGGGGCAGGGAGGGAGAGGTGTGGATTCCCGGATTTGCGTCCTTAAACCACAGGTTCGTCTAACCTCGCGGATGAAATACCATTTAGTGAGGATTAACTAGGGGGAAGAATATAAAAGTTCACTCTTGATAAAAGTAATAAATACAAGGGAAAAAAGTACAGAACGCAAAAGGCCTTTCTTTCTCCAACTCCAGGTAGCTTAGTGAAGACTGCACTTCTCAGAACTTTACTTTTAATGGCCTAAATCTGAAACAAGAGAAAGAACTCGACCAGGAGTAGCAAGGCCTCAGATTTTTTTTTAGGAGGGGGGGAAGTTCAGGGCATTAGATTCGAATTGTCCCCCCCGGGCTTTTGGGCACACAGAATCTCACCCTAACCAGGCCTCTTGGTTGGGGCGAAAACAGGGCCTCGCTGTTCTGATGATGAAATCGGCGACAGGCAGAGCCTTTTACCGCCACCAACCTGGCCAGAGCCGTGCTGTTTCCCGAAGGGAAAATGTCTGGAAGTTGGAAGAAGAGCGCGGGACAAATGCTTCCTTGGCCGGGATCGGAATCCCGGGCCCAGGAAGGACAGGAGCCAAACCTTGGACCCCTTGGGGTGCTCGCGGCCTAGCAGGGCCAAGTTCCGCAGGCATTGGTTTTGGCAAATTCGCGACCCCCCTGCCTCCTCACCCACCATTCACACACTCCGTCATCTGTAGCCCAGGCGGCAAAAACCCATTTCAGGAAGTGGAGAGAGTTGGTAGCTAAACTTCGAGCAAACTTTTTATCTCCCAAAGAAACATGTTGCCTCCGCGACCCAGTCATCCGGCCCCCTTTCCATTCTTCATACATTCTACATCTCCCGACACCTGGGGGTACCAAGAGAGGCAGGTGCACCAGAACCGGTCCAACACTCCACGCTGGGGTCTAGGGTGAGGCCGCAGGCGCAGGGGGCTGGAAACCTTCACCGCCGTGCACCGCAACCCCAGGTCTGCGTCCTCCCCGCTTCCGAAATAGTCATCGTCCCAAGTTCCTGCTCGAGGTGGGAGGGGGTGGGGGAAACGGCCACAGCACAAACCGCAAGTGACCCACCAGGCCACCTGTGGAGCGTGCGCCGGACCTTCCCCGGCGCCGGGCCCCGCGGGCGGCGCGCTTTGCCCCCAGCACCGCAGCCGCTGCCTGCGCTCGTTTTTCCTGTCTTCGCTGTCTCCTGGGAGCTCTCCTGGGCGCTGCCACGCGCGCCTCACCTACGACTCCCGTGCCCTGGGCCACGGCGCTTCCTTTCCTCCTCCCCACTCCGGCCCCCTCCCCTACTCCACCTCCGCCCACCTCAGCCCCAGCCAAGGCAAACCCCCCGTACCTGCCAGTCTCCCATTTTGGCAAGTATGGACATCGCGGCTCGGCGCTCCTGGCGACTGGTCCCCGCCGGGCATGGGCTGGAGGGCTCGGCCGGGCCCGCTCCCTGGAATCGCTTAGGCAAATCCTCCTTTTTTACCTGCTCACCAACATCTCACCTGGTCATAAAGAGCTGGGTTGCTACCTGCCGACGCATGCGCGCTGGCCCAGGAATTCACTCCGCCAGCTGCAGTCCCAGCGCCTCACGGAGCTGACCTGGGAAGTGATGGATTTATAGCCGCGGCAATCTTGCCATCAGCTCCAGCTTTTCCCAACAGCCCCAACCCGCTTTCCCGGTCAGTCCCTGGCCCGGGAACCGAAGCGGACTGACTGCTGGATGTGCTGGGTGCGATGCGAGTGTGAGTGTGTTTTCGCACTCCAGTGGTGGGGGCATCGACAAGCTCGACCCCTGGCTCCCCTCCCCTCGGAACTTTCGAGTTGGGGGAGTCTCCACTCCCGGGTGGGGGTCGGGGGTTGGGGAAGGGCTACACCGGTGGAAGCGTCCAGACCCGATGATCCCCGCGGACCTGGACACAGTGGGGATGGGTCGCTGTCCCCGCCTCCCCACCCGCTCACGAGGTGCAGGGCACGACTGGCCTTAGCGGATCCTACTCTGCCACCCCCGGGGCCACTTCAGCGTTAGATTCCACATGAAACTGTTGCTCAATAGGTGAAGACGTTCATGATTCTGTGTCACTTCTGACTTCTAGGTTTAGTCTCCTCCCATCGTAGAGAGAGAGAGAAACTACACATACACACACTCACACACTCTCTTACACACTCACACTGAGCACTTCTGTACAAAGGTCCACCCCCTTCTTCCCACTTTCACAGTTCCCTTCCCCTCTCCCTCTTTTCCATTTAGAACTATTTAAAGGAAGAATGGGGGCGTTGGTGGCTCTGGGATGGGCAACTGAGGTTTGGTTTAGGGTTTGCTTTCCCATGACAGATAAAATCACTGAAGTGATTTCACCGCTGCTTCTAATTAGAGGGGAGCTTTAAAAGAAGCCACAGGATTTGGGGCTCCTGGAGCTCACCTCCCTCAGGAGCCGCACCTGGCCGGCAGGGAGGTGAGGGTGAGGAGAATGGCCTCGGGCCACACTCTCCCAGAGACAGTGCCAGTCCCATTCCTGCGGCCATGAGATCGAATTGTCCTGGGTGTGGGCCTGGGGCTCCTGGGGCAGGCCCAGTTACCCTCCCAGGCTGCTGTAGCTGGGACTTGGAGACGAACAAAGAACCAGTTTTAAATCATCTTCTCTGACATGTCAGGCAAATATGTGTAAAAGGTCAGCTCCACGCTGTGGAGCAGAGGTCTGTTCCCCAGGCACCAAAGCCTCCCCTTTCTAACCGTGCCCGAGAACCTCCGACCCCCGGCCCTGTCCAGGCGGCTTTGCACCCTCTCGGCGTTCCCAGGGGTGGGGTGGAGGTGCCTCTCCCTGGAGTCCTCTTATAGCTTCCGCATTTTATTCATCCCTGGGCTACAGGACTTTCATCCCAGTACCCATCCTTTAGTTGATTTAAAACTTTCTGGGACCTGCCTTAGAATCTTGCTCAAGTCTGGGGGTTTCTGTGGGTAGCTTTTTTGGTTTGTTTTGTTTTGGTGAGAATTTAAATAAATTAGATGACGTTTTTAACTAATAAGTACACCTTCCCTGGCTTCTTCCAGAAAGTGGAAATATAGGGCGGTGACTAACTTTTCAGAGTGGAAGACACGCACGAAGGGAGCTCCTGCAGCTCTCCGGGATTCAGGCGGAGGTCGCTGTGCTCTCTTAAAAGTGAGCGGCGGTTTCAACCTGCGGTCGCTTCGCCTCGCCAGCGCGGGGGAAACACTGGCTGGAGGCGACCTCGGGCCCAGCCGGACAGGCCGGGCCGAGCCTAGGAAGGGCTGGCGGGCGCGTCCCAGGGCCAGGGTGGGGCTTGGGGAGCGCCGTCTCCACCCTCGGTACTTTTGGGGTGGGGAACCTGAGCGTGCGGAAAGCGGGAGGCAGAGCTGAGAGCGGGGTTAAGCGCGAAGCTAAGGCACCGCATAGGGTTGGGTGGGAATGGGCAGGGTGACCTGGAAGCGAAGCACCCCGGGCCTTAGGAGAGAGGACCGTCGGCAGCTGTGCACATCCTAGCGGGAGGATGATGTGGGAGAGAGGCGGAGGGACGTGGAATGCGGGAGCTAGAATTTAGTTTTGCAGTAAGATCACTTGGGGTCCACATTCAGCTCCGATATATATACGTGTAGGGGCTGTGTGATCCTGGGGAAGTTACTGACCTTGTGAAAACTTCTGTTTTCTGGTTTGTAAAGTGGCTAATTGGTGGGAATTCAATAGGAGACTGTACGCAAAACGCTTAGCACAGCGCCTGGCCAACAGTGTGCTTTCGAGAAAGGCTGCTGAGCCGTGTCCAGGACGGTCTACATAGCCCCACGTCCAAGATGAGTTCACAGCGCCCAAGACCTGTTCAATTCAAGATGATGTAAACTGCATTGCCCTTCTTAGACACACCGCAGCCAGGAACTGGTCATCTGCACCTCCCGCGATTTCCCCCTCAGAACCCCAGTCCTGCCAGATTTACGTCCTTCCCTTGTTCCTCAAACACCTGCTGCACCGCTCAGAGCTTTTCCCCACCCGGACCTCCTCCGCAGCTCCGCACCAGCGAGACTGCCCCACCTCCGGGGGTGCCATGATTGGCGAGGGATGGGGGATGCCTCCCAGCTTCATCAGCTCTCTGGGTTCCAGACAAACGTTCCGGAGAGCCAGCTGCTCCCAGTGCGGGCAGGCCCAAGGCCACTAACTGCACTTGGCGACCCACCTCTGCGTCCAAGAGGCCTCGGAAAGTGCGGCCTTGGGGCTCTTTTGCATCAGAGACCAGCGGCACCCCGCTCCTCTCCCTGGGATGGGAGAGGGAGAGCCGCGGAAGTTCCCCAGCCACTCCTGGCACTGCCACCACGAAGCAGGTTCCGTAGCTAACAGGGCCTGGGACACTGAACCATATCGCAAATTTTTCTGTGCGCCACTCAGTGAGGGAAGCCTGTGCTGCGGGGAGGGGCGGGATGACCTGGTGTTGGATTGAGCGGAGCTCCCACCTTCAGGTAATGCTGAGCTCAGGCTCTCTGAGGCCTACGGTGTCAGAAACGCCGGTGGAACCCATTCTCCACCAACAACCCTCCTCCCAGGACCATCAGCCCCAAAGTTGAGGGAGTAATCTCTGCGTTAGGGTTAGCCCTGCTTGAGCCTCATTTTCACTCCACCCCTTCACTTACCATCAAGCACCATACCCCTAGCGATTTCGCCCAAAGTTCTTTAAAGGAACTTGGATATCTGTACCCAAGTCTGAGCGATGAGTCCATTCGGGTGATAACCTCGGCTTCGCTTTTTCACTGGGGAGTTGAAGATCCCTGGGCAGGTGGGGTGACCCCTGGCTGCACTTCTCTCCTCTTCCCCTGTCTCCCACAGTGGCTGCTCTTCCCTGCCCTCGGCAGAGCAAACCTAACTCAAACTTGGTTTCCTTCTTGGTCTCCCTTGGAATGGTAAACTGGCCGTCAGGGTCGGGGCCAGAAAGAAGGAAAATTGGGCTACTCGAAGGAAAAGGTGAGGGAAATTGAGTGGCATGACTCTCCAATTGGATTAGGGCAAAGGAATTACCAGTAGAATTACCAGCAACCACAGGAGAAGAAATTAGCCAAGGTGTCTTAGCAAAGGTGTCCAGGGAGAAGGTGAAGAAGGGAGGGTGTGCATTAGGCGTGTCCCACTGTGGCTCTCCAGAATGCACGCTTTCAACTGACGGCAGTGGGTACAGGCCCGAGGTGTGCAGCAAGCTGGGAAGCTAAAGATGCCCTGGAGACTGGAGGAGCGCGTCACCGGTCAGTGCGCCCCCTCCAAGAGCGGCCTCTCGGTCTTCTCGGCCTTAGGCGACAGGTGCAGCAGCTGTCTCTGCTGCCCGCTGTGCCAGGGCGGCTGCCGAGCACTGGTGCGGAACCACTATCGGAACGAGTTTGCGCTTCTGTTTACAAAGCAATCCTGCTATCAAAAGAGGAACAAAATCACCACTTATCACACCCTGTCATAAAGTAATCTGCCCTGGAGGGAAACCCTAGTGGAGAACTGCGGGGTGTGTGTGTGTGTGTGTGTGTGTGTGTGTGTGTGTGTTGGGGGAGGGGGGATGGAGGAAAGGGGACTCTCCCAACTCTTCTTCAGAGTAAATCGCTGGGATGCTTCGTGTCCGGACCGGCCTGGAAAGAAGGAGGGTACCATGAGCTGTGGAGCTGGGGTGTGACAGGGACGCCCCTCCAGGACTGGGCCTGGGAGAGTGCAGAATGGTTCTCTTGGATCTTTAGAATGGGCACATCTGCAGCCCCCCACTCCAGTGTTTACTTTCCTAGGGTCTTTGAAGATACTCCCAAGGACCCCCAAAATAGATCAGCAGAAAGTTCTGGGGGTGGGGGAGTGAAAAAGCGAGTTCTTGAAGACTGTAAGATCCCTTTTCGCATCCTCAACAACTGGAGTATGCAGGGAATTCCTGACCAGTGGAGGAGGGTTTTGCTCTCTCCAATCCCTTGTCTCCCCGCAGCCCCATGTTATGCACTTGTTCTTGGAGAGATGGAGGTTAAGGAAGTATCAGGCAGTTCTCACTGCAAAGAAATGGTGCAGAAATAAGAGAGAGAGAGAGAATGAAACCCTAGGAAGTTATTAGTGATCCCTGACCCAACCCAGCCACAGGGGGTTATCTGTTTCCAGGTCCCGCCTTGTATAAAGTAAGGTGATAAACGCTTTAGGCAGCCAAGTCCAAGCACAGCTGGGTGCCTGGCGGGTTTGGGAGGGGGGTGGTCCTCTGTGGTGCCTCTGCCTCTGGAGTTACCTTTAGGAAAGGCCAAGAGAACTATCCTCCCCTCCATGTCGGCTGAAAAGGGGCTATTTTGCTAGTCTTGGTATCAGTAATTCACCACTTAATATAACCAGGTTTTAGATTTGTATATGAGCGATCCTGGACATCCAATACCGCCCCCCAGTTCCCCAGCACCACTCCTGGACATTCTAGACACCAGCCAGGCTTATTCTGCAGCCAGTCTTAAAATAGCAGATCCATTTTGGGGGAGTCTGGATGCAAGTGCATGTGATCCAGCCTGAATTTGAGACTCTCAGTTTCCTTAACACCAGCTTGAAAAGTCTGCAATCACTAGCCCTGAGAGATTACTTTGATTCCTAATGGGATATCCTGAGTCAGGGTGGCTGAAAAGAGCTACCAGTTTACCTTGTAACTGGTAGGCAGAATTCTCAATGCTAAGTTATCACTTGCACTTATTGAAGGCCTGGGGGACATGGTTTCATCCTTCATAATTCCTATATGGCTGATGCCAGTGGAGAGTCAATGTTTTGCTGTGTCTCTGTGCAAAAAAAAAAAAAAAAACAAAACAAAAAAACAAAGCAAAACAAAAAACAAAAACAACAACAACCTTGTAAGATGAGGGATTGTACTTTTCAATGACTAGGGAGCTAGTTCCAAAGCTGGCACAATCGCCAAGAGCTAAATGGAAGAAGGTCTCTGCTCCTTCTCCAAAAAACCTTTCCTGGGGATAATGGGTGACTTAGCGCAGTGGCCTTCAAACTTTGCTGTGTATTAGAGTCAGCTGGAGGGTTGTAAAGTCCCGATGCCTGAGCGGCTCAACACAACAAAGAAATCAGAATATCTGGGAGTAAAACCTAGATTTGGGAACTATTTAGGGCAAGTCTGCGTCGATCTGTAGCAGAGTTTTGGAACTGACTTTCTAAACTGCAGCCACTCCTCATCTTTGGCCTTGTGAAAAACTTGAGACCCCGGCTTTATCAGTCCCCCTTTTGAAAAACAGGGCGTGTCTCAGTCCTAGGTATGCAAAGCTAAACCTCTCAAACTGCTGTGCATTCGAATTAGCCAACTTAAGAACAAGTCCAACAGCACTGCTAAGCAAGAGCCTAAAAACTCAGCGTTTCCCGACATCTCTTGGCGGCGTTGGCTGTTTGCCCGGGACGCTGGTTTAGAAGCACAGTATAGGGTGTCTTTACATCTAAGAAATCGAGACAGCCTCTAGGTTAGAATAAAGTTTACTCTGGACCGGGCATAACTTCACTCCACCTCTGGGCTTCTTTTTCTCCAGTTTCCACACTTCTGCCTTTTCTTTCCCCACCTTCCAACTCCTAGCGCGCTACTTTGACGTCTCAGTCTCGTTTGCTAAGCCCATGCGCCTGGGACTTGTTCTTTGAATCTCAAGTCCGAAAAGCCAGGAATCCTGGATCATGGACTTCTTCCTGCTAAATCAGAGAGACTGAAATTTCGCTCTCCTCTCCATCCTACTTCTCCATCCCAAACTCGCTAGGTTAAGTTTAGCGCCCTCTCCAACATTTTCCCCACCAGAGAGGCAAGTGTCCTACATTTGTACATAAAGGTCCCTGAGTCGCTGGGTGGAGAGGCTCGGATGTCTTTTCCTGGAGCGGGCCTCGGGGAGCTGCAGCAGCCCCAGTCTCAGGCACCACTGCCAGGCGAGCGCGCCTTGGGCTCGCGGCTCCGCACGCAGCTGGAGGCCTGGGCCGCTGACCCTCTGGCCACTTAGTCGACCCGAGGATGTGTGCCCCGGGACTCGGTCTTGCCGCGGGTGAGGAGGCTGGTCACCATTCAGGGTGCAGGTGTCATGGCCTGGAAATGTCAATATCTGAGCTAACAGGTGGGCGTCGCTCCCCAGCAGTGCGGTGGCCGCTGGCTCGCAATGCGCTCCAGCTTTCAGCGTCGCCGCCGCCGCCCCTTTGCTCTGCGGACCCAGCCAGTTCCCGGGTGGCGCAGTTGGGTGGCTCCGAGGCCTGCCCCCTTGGGCTGCGGCGGGAGGCGGGGACCGCAGTGCCGAGTGTAGTGCGCCCCCGCCGGGCTGGCGGTTCCCGCTGCGCTCTGGCCTCTGCCGGGAGGGCGCTCTGGCGCCAAACCCGGGCGGGCCGGAGGGTGGGAAGCCGATTGGGCTTATTCCCATTCAGAATTTAGAGGCTGGTGGAGACAGAGAGTCTCCTAAATGGATGCAAGTCTCCTGAAAGTCTGGGACGGAAGCCTCGAAACTTTCTGCCACGCAAAGCCCCAGCTAGTGGCCAGGGCTCGGTCCTGGTTCTCTTTGTGCAGGCCCGGAAGTGTCCGCACGGTTTTCCCACTGCCTGGAGGGGCCTAGGGTCGCGAATAGACTCGGACAAGGCTCCGTTTACATTCAGTTTGTCTTAATTGACTAATGACGGGACTGGTTGTAATGCGTGCTCCGAGATTTTCTCCAGGATTTGTCACTAATTTTGCAGTATGAGGTAAGGCCGTGCTTTTTAAAGTGGAGACACTCTCTTTGCCTTTCCTGCCTTCCTAAAGGAAGCACATCCTCTTGGTGTGCTCGACGGGACCTGTAGACTCCAGACTCCACTGCTTTTTCTCAAAACCACAGACTTGAAAAGAATACACTTCGATTGCTGTTAAAACTTGTCAGATTTCCATGTTTTAATCGCTGGTAATGTCTTAATAGTAGAACCTTACCATTTTTGCACGTGTTGCTGAAAGGAGAGCTCTCCAGTAAAAGTGTCGCGCCCATCAGTTTTTATAGGCTGTGCAAGATTACTTATCAAAGATCTCAAAATGACAGACCCAAGCTACCTCTGGATTTCCAATCACATGTTCAAAACTCAAAGATTCTCAGTCTGGAGAGGTTTTGTTTTGTTTTGGTTTAGTTTTAAAAGCTCATTCCTACCCCCCTACCCCGACCCCAATAACACAGTACTTAATTGTTTTATTAAATTGTTCCAGGCTCTGGAACCCTGGAGAGGCACTGTTGAAATGGTATTGTTTTTTCTGTATTTATATCAACACAGAAAGTTGCATTAGAAACTTACGTTGATAATTTAATAAGGCCTCATCAAGTATATGAGGTTTTTTTTAAAAAAAATGACATAGCACATATCACTTCATTTGTTTTCAAACTCAAAATGTGCTCTTTCTGAATCTTATGATGTAAATTGTACAGTCTTTATGATTAGATAATTTTAGCTGTGATATTGTGAATATAAGAATTGTACAACTTTCCTTTGAAATGTGCTAAGAAGAATAAAAATGAAGTTTTCTGTCTGGAAATGGCTGGAAACAAATGCCAAAACCTGACAATTTATACACACAGTTCCCTTTCTGACTTGACTCACCCCTTTGAGAATTACTTTTTAAAATACCAAAGTTATAGGATACTAAGTTAATTGTGGTCTTTCTAATTCTGAAAAACTGGTTTTCATTTGCCTCAAGAACTTTTAAGGCAAGGTTGTCTAAGCTACTTCCTTGAACAAAGACTCAGACAAAAGCATTTGACTGCTTTTAATTTCACAGCATTTTTACATTTTAAAACTATAGCTTGATGAAACTCAAGTGTCCTGAATAAAGAATAAATACTTAAAAATTGTTTAAATACATATTTTCTCCTTTCATTATTGGAGCATTCAAGCAAAGATTGTGTAAAATTCAGGTTGTGTAAAATTCAGGTTAAGTAAAATGTAAAAAATACATATCCAGTTTACATTACATATTCTTATTGTGTTCAAATATTTATACAAAAAAAAAAAACCCCTAAGATATTTACATCTTTAACATCTTTTTTTCTTTTACCTTTACTACTAGAAAGAGAAGCTAACAAAGGAAAGCCTCTTCGAAAAATGGGATTTCCTTGGCCTTAGCAGTTCCGGTATGTTCCACTACCAACACTAGGTAGGAAAAATCTGACTTGTGATGTTTGTGATTAAATAGCTGCCTGGCTCAAACCACCCAAAGAGAGGGAATTCACTCTGAGTTCCACAGTTTTTTCTTGAGGAAGAAACTAGCAGAAACAGAATTTTAGAGCCTTAGAACTCTCATTACAAAATGCCCGTCACTGTAAAGCGGCATATACTGAACCTGGCTTAGGTGTGTGTACTGAGCCCAGTACAAATGTATATACTGAGCCCAGAGCTATTCAGCTTGTTGGTGGTGGGGGTGGTTAGGATTAGATGATGATACCTATTCTCGAATGAGTTAGTCTACGATGCTGTGTCCTAGACTGTGCTCAGGATTAAAAACCTGATTAAAAGACCTTTTTGACTGAAGAATGTTCTTTTTTTTTTCTTTTTTTTTTTGAGACGGAGTCTCGCTCTGTCGCCCAGGCTGGAGTGCAGTGGCCGGATCTCAGCTCACTGCAAGCTCCGCCTCCCGGGTTCACGCCATTCTCCTGCCTCAGCCTCCAGAGTAGCTGGGACTACAGGCGCCCGCCACCTCGCCCGGCTAGTTTTTTTTTTTTTTTTGTATTTTTTTAGTAGAGACGGGGTTTCGCTGTGTTAGCCAGGATAGTCTCGATCTCCTGACCTCGTGATCCACCCGTCTCGGCCTCCCAAAGTGCTGGGATTACAGGCTTGAGCCACCGCGCCCGGCCGAAGAATGTTCTTAAACCTTAGCATCCAATCTGCTTTAAACAGGTTGCAATTAAACATAATGCTATGTGTTCATCGTTAATTGTAGACAGAAAATGTCCAGTGTTGATAGAAATTACCTCTAAAGTCTTGAATCTGGAAGAAGCTGGACAAATGGCTCCTGGATTTCTAATACTGGCATTTCTTTGGTGACTGTTTCCCATGAATTACCTCAACTGACACTGAAAGCCACAAGAAAGCCAAAAAATGCAAACTGCAAGCCTGAATATGCCTACAAATTACCTGTGCCTTTAATGTGTCTTGAGCGGTTTGGATACATGCTTGATATTTTGTGGCAACAAAATACTAGTGCCAGATGTGTATACTTATGTAACAAACCTGCATGTTCTGCACATGTATCCCAGAACATAAAGTATAATTTTAAAAAATTCAAAAATAAATAAATAAATAAAATTTAAAGAGTCAAAAAAAAAAAAAAAGCAAAAAACTAGTGCTAGGACTCCACTTTTAGTATCACTTTTCATATTTTAGTATTTAGTATTATCATTTTATCTTTCAATGCATTAGTGAAGCTTCTACGGTATTGTTTTGCCTTTTCAAATCAACAGGTGATAGTAGGAAGGCAGGAATAATCTCCCAGGAATCATTATTTTATTGAGAGTTATTAGGGAGTAATAAGAAACTTGACAATAAGAGTGGAAACATTAAATCAAGGTGGGGGAAAAAAAGAAGTATCTACCAAGAGAAAATGTTTTATTCATCAATAAGCATAACAATGGAAATGGATTATGAAAACAGGTAAAGGATATCTTCACCAATAAGTTTGACTATACTTATTCCAGTCTCTGTGACACCAAGTCTTATGAATTTCTAAAAAGAAGATGTGACTCAAAATTAACAAACACTGCAAAGAAGACACGCGTCCTATTTATGAGTGCTTTTAATAGTCTCTTAGCAGAGGTACATTTGGAAGCTAAATTGAATCACAGTGACTAAAACTTTTTCTGAAATCCCCAATCCGATGTTGAAGCACATGGCTCAGAAACAATCTCAATATCATCAAATAAGTAAACCACAAAAAAGAAAAAGAAGATCTCAAATATTCCTTTCCCAAACGTTTCCCAAATGTATACACATATGTAGACAGTAGAGACTAGAACTGGAATTTTTTTTTCCTAAACATTTGCTGCCCCCACGTGTCCCTTTAGGAAACTGAGTGTTAAAGCTAAATCATGTTCATTATCACCTTCTATACAGCATTCACAAGTTAGGTACGCTTAAGTATGATCACAGAAACAACCTGGTGTTGGTAGAAAGCACCAGAGACAGGGCGGGGAAGCACGGAGGGAAGAAGCTGACTTCTGCCACAGACTCCTGGGATAATCTCCAGTAATTACATAAGGTCCATGTGTCTCTGTCTCTTCAAACCTGAAATGGGTGGCAGGCTGGTGGGACGGGGCGAGTAGCCAGATTTTCACTAAGGTTCCATCTAGCTCTAATATTTGGTCACTCTCATTGAGGATGATAAAAGAGAAGTAGAGAAATCCAGTTATCCCATTTCTGGCCAAGTCGTCACTTGGGAGGCGTGGCCAAAAACTCATGAATGAACTTCCTGTTTCATCACTCGAATCCATTACCTCGGTTCTCTGTCATCTTGACAAACTTGCTTCCCAATGTCTGAGTGGCTCTGAGCCTAAGGAGACAAGAAGGAATTTGTTTTCTTTAATGTCCAACGATTATACATTAGACAGTATCCTGCTCATGACTATAAAAATGAAAATCATCTTCCATGTTTATAGTATGTATCAGTAGCAGGTGCCTCAACACCTCAACAGCTCTGACTAGTTTTTTTTTTTTTTTTTTTTTTTTTTTTTTTGAGACAGAGTCTCACTCTGTCACCCAGGCTGGAGTGCAGTGGCATAATCTCGGCTCACTGTAACCCCCGCCTCCTGGGTTCAAGCAAGTCTCCTGCCTCAGCTGGGACTACAGGCACAACCAGCTAATTTTTGTGTTTTAAGTAAAAACGAGGTCATCATGTTGGCCAGGCTGGTCTCAAACTCCTGGCCTCAAGTGAACCACCTGCCTCAGCCACTCAAAATGCTGGGATTATAGACATGAGGCACCTCACCAGCCACTAAATCTTAAATCTCCACAATACCATGATAGGCATGGCAAAACCATTCTCTCCCTACTTCAAATTTGTTCAATTCTCAGGCAACCACATGTTTAAAGAAAGGCTGGGTCCTTCCTTGCCCAAGGGGGTGAATTTTGATTCATCTAAGAATTAGACTAGTCACTGGTCCTCACCCTTCACTGTTAATCAGAATCTTTTGGGGAGCGCTATAAAAATACTGATGCCCTGGCCAAGCATAGTGGCTCACGCCTGTAATCCCAGCGCTTTGGGAGTCCAAGGTGGGTGGATCACAAGGTCAAGAGTTCGAGACCAGCCTGGCCAACATGGTGAAACCCTGTCTCTATCAAGAATACAAAAATTAGCTGGGTGTGGTGGCACATGCCTGTAATCCTAGCTACTTGGGAGGCTGAGGCAGGAGAATCGCTTCAGCCTGGGAGGCAGAGGTGTCAGTGAGCGAAGATCATGTCATTGCACTCCAGCCTGGGCAACAGAGCAAAACTCTGTCTTGGAAAAAATAAAAAATAAAAAACAAAAAACCCTGATGCCTAGGCCCCTCTGCAAAGATTCTGATTTAATTGGTTTAGACTTTGACAGCTTTTGAAAACTCTCCAAGTGATGCTGTGAGCAGCCTGGGTTGTGAATCACTTATCTAAGTCATTATCACAATTCCATTTTCCTCTCTGATAATTAGGAATGAGTATGTAATATAATTTATTTTGCCAATGAGATTTAAGGGGAAATCTGACTGGAAGTAGGGACTCTTGGATCATTTTCCTCACTCTTAAAAAGGAACAGAAGATTGGGTCCTTATTGTGTCTTCCAGGCTTTGGTTGTTACCAAGTGGGGATATAAGGGAGGTGATGTCTGGAGCTGCTGCAACCACTTTGTGACTATGAAGGAGGCTCCCACATAAAGGAAGCTCCCACATGGCAGAGTGGAAAGATGGGAAGAATTCCCTGTCTTTGATGGTCTTGTTAAGCTGCTGAGTTAAGTGACCCTATAGCTGTCCTACCTCAGGATTTATTATAAAAGAATATGAGTGAAAGACATATAGTTGGAAGGCCGGATGTGGTGGCTTATATCAGTAATCCTAGCACTTTGGGAGGCTAAGGTAGGAGGATCGTGTGAACTCAGGAGTTCAAAACCAGCCTGTATAACACAGTGAGACCTTGTCCCTACAAAAAAAAAAAAAAAAATTAAAAAGTGAAAAAAAAAGAGAAAGACATATAGTTGGAGCCAAAATCATTCTAACTGATAACACTGATAGTTCTAAAAAAATAAGCATAAAGTTTTTTGTTTTTGTTTTTTTTTTTTTTTGAGACAGAGTCTTGTTCTGTTGCCCAGGCTGGAGTGCACTGGCACAATTTCGGCTCACTGCAACCTCTGCCTCCTGGGTTCAAGCAATTCTCCTGCCTCAGACTCCCAAATAACTGGAAATACAGGCGTGCACCACCATGTGCACCCGGATAATTTTTGAATTTTTAGTAGAGATGGGGTTTCCCCATGTTGGCCAGGCTGGTCTCCAACTCCTGACCTCATGGGATCTGCCCACCTTGGCCTCCCAAAGTGCTGGGATTACAGGCATGAGCCATCGCGCCCGGCCAGCACAAAGATTTTTAATTGGGTTCCTCAAACTATGCTCCTGAACCCCTGGGATCCCATGGGATTTTGCTAGTGTCCTATAGGGATGTTTTATAAGTGGGATTTTGTGTGGGTGTATACATGTTTCCACAGTAAAATGTGTGAGGATGGCCAGGCACAGTGGCTCATGCCTGTAATTTCAGCACTTTGGGAGGCTGAGGCGGGCGGATCACCTGAGCTCAGGAGTTCGAGACCAGCCTGACCAACCTGGAGAAACCCCGTCTCTACTAAAAATAAAAAAATTAGCCGGGCGTGGTGGCACATGCCTGTAATCCCAGCTACTCGGGAGGCTGAGGCAGGAGAATTGCTTGAACCCGGGAGGCGGAAGTTGCGTTGAGCCGAGATCACGCCAGCCTAGGCAACAAGAGCGAAACTCTGTCTCAAAAAAACCCAAAAAAACAAAAAAACAAAAAAAAAAAAAACAGTGTAAGGATATAATTTCGGAATATTACTCTGTTCACTTCTGTCTTCCAATTAAAGCTCATTATTTATTTGCAAATATAAAATAAGGACTGGGGCAGAGATAACCT